GAAAGAGGGGGAGGCCTTCAACAAGATGGATTGACATGGTGGCTACAATGATGGGCTCAAGTATAGCAGGGATTGTGGGGCTGGCGTGGGATTGGGCAGTGTTTGTTCTACTATGCACGGGGTTGCTATGAGTCGGAAATGACTCGACGGCACTTAACAACAACAACAATCATTATCAAATAAATCTTATAAGCAAAGTTTATTGAAGAAATAAAACAAATTGTCCAAACACAAAGTCAGTGTTGTTCCCAGATTTCCGCCCACTTCTGGCCCCCTGCATGTAGATTACTTCTGTGTCTCAAGGACTCACCTAGGAGTGGGTTCTGTTGGAGAAACTGCTCGGTGCATCGTCATTGGCCTTGTAAAATACACCAGATAACCTGACAAAGAACACAATACAGTCACATCAATGTCAATGAGCTGCACAAGGAGTGTCTTAAGGCAGTACTAGTCAGTCATTTTCCATCTCAAATACCTGAGGGATAAGACATAATATCATAAGGTGCAAAGGCTCATGAGTGCAGTGATTCTTAATCCGGGGCAAACAACAGAGTCCCTAGGAATCCAGGTGTGTGGAGATGTATGTGATTTGATAAAGTCCTCACAGGCCATTTTTATTTCCTTGCTAGAGGATCTATCCCCTGTTGAGAATTAGTGCTCCGAGTAGAAAATCAAACACAAGCTCATCAGAATAAAAAAAAAAAAAAATTAAGACTGTAATTCTGGTGAGTATTCTTCAGGTATATCCACAGACATCAATTTGGCATCAGACAATAAACATATGACATGAGTCTTTTTGAGTTCCCAGAAAATAAATTTTAAAAACCCAATTCTCTGGTGGATATTTATACAGAAAATATGATACTCCTAGCTGCTCTCATGATCTCTAGATCTACAACCAGAGAAGAAAAACAGACCAACCTGCTCCACAGAACCTGGCCCCAGAAGTCCTAGGAAAGGGGATATTGGCATCCTGATATGACCCATAGGCAGTGGTCACACGTGCAAACGTTGATAAAGGTGGTGTGACAGAGTTTGGGAGAGCAAAGGGGTTGCTGGAAGCACTGTCTTCTTGGTTCTGAAATTTAAAAATCAACAAACTGAAAAAAACACAACCTGTCTTCAAGTTGAATCACAAAATGAAGACGTGATTATAAAACCAGGTAGCCCAAGGTTGCAGGAAAGAAGGAATGAAATAGAATATTACAGCATATATGGGTACAACAACTTCATTCTTCATACCACAAAAGTCTCAAGGCAGGAGACGAGCTGGCGCAGGCAGGGCTCTAAACAACTCTGATTGCGTTTCACTTTTTGCAGGGAAGTGTCTTTCAGGATCTAAAAAAGGGACAGAACATAGTCAAGAGGAGCAACAGATTTCTCCAGATTCACCTTACTTCTGCAAAGCAGTCAGAAGCAATGAAGATGCAGGAAGTCTGGACAATGGTTAAGTCTGAGGCTTTCAACCTTCTATAGAGGTTCAGATAGAGGAAGATTCATTTCTGATCCTTGAAGAAGCCCCTTCCTTAGCCAAGAAAAGCACACATGCTGACTTTGTGAGGGCATGCTTCTGGCAATAGGATGATTTGTCATTCTTTCTAGTGAATTCTGTCCCCTTCCTTTTCTTCCACCCCAACCCTGGCCCTCATGAGAAATCTCAGTACCATAGTAGTAATATATGTTGTGCTGCATGGAAAACTGATCTGAGTGATACAAGCCAGAGGGAGCAGATTTCACTTTAACAATTTTTTTTTCTCTGTCTTTAAAAATATAAATCCTACCTTCAGGCCTAGAATTGGACTCACTCCTGTGGCTTCAAGCCAAACAACAGACAGGCATATAGAGTGAACATTTACACCAGGTAGGTAACACTCCTAAGAACAATCAGTCACAGGAGAGCAGAAGGGCAGTATTTGCACAGGGAGATAGATCAGGGGGCAGGAATGCATGGGAAAGGACTCAGGGAAAAGGGAGGACAATGGAAGAGAGCCGTTACATTGTGGGGAATTGCAGTCGATGTCATGAAACAAAATGTGTATGAACTTCTGTATGGAAAATGAATTTGCTCTGTTAACTTTCACCCAAATCACAATTAAATACACACACACACACACACACACACACATTTTAAGGCACATGCTGTATTTATGAATCGGTGCCTACATACTGAAGACAAACCTATAAACTAAACTTGCACTGTCTAATACAGTAGTCATTGCCCACATGGGGCTATCTAGCACTTGAAATGTGGCTAGTCCAAACAGAGATATGCTGTAACTGTAAAAGTCACACCAAATATCAAAGACTTAGGAGCTCTGGTGGTGTAGTGCCTAAGGCATTTGACTGTTAAACCAGAAGGCTGGTGGTTCAAACCCACCAGCCACTCTTCAGAAGGAAGACTGGGTAATCTATTTCCCTAGAGATACCACCTTGGAAACCCAAAGGAGAGTCACTGTGAGTCGAATTCAACTTGACAGCAGTGAGTCTGTTTGTTTATTTGTTTGTTTGTTTGTTTTTATTGTGATTTGGGTGAAGATTTACAGAGCAAATTCACTTTCCATACAGCAGTTCACATATACTTTGTCTCAAGTCACTGACCACAGTTTACCACAATGCAACAGCTCCCATTCCACTTCCTCCCCATAGCTACCTCTTCCCAGTGCCCATCCCTCCATACACTCCTGCCCCCTGAGCTGCCTCCCTGTGCATAAGCAGCCCTCATATACCTGTATTTCGCTTGGCTGGAAACCACAGGTGTGGGTTCAATTCCTGACCTGAAGGGCAGCTAGGGGCCATAGTCTCAGTGGTTCCACCAGGCTCTAACAGACCAGCAAATCTGGTCCCCAACTT